CATCCAGCCGAAAACATAACAAAATCTAGACAAAGCCTAGAGCATTCTTAGGAAAATGCTAGAAAAGCCTTTGAAAATCTCATAAGCCAACAGAAAACGTGACAAAATCTACGAAAAAGCAAGGACATTGGCCGGGACCACGCCGCGACCAGCCGGGATTCGAGCCCAGGACCATTTTGGACCGTGCTTATTTTCCCGCGCGGGTGGAGAGGGTGCCCCAAGATGTAAATCAATTGGGATGGCAGAATCTTGGACAATCCAGGTCGCCATCAGGTCGCAATCAGGTCGCTTTCAGGTCGCAATCCCGTCAAATCCCGTAGCTATCACGTCGCTTTTAGGTCGGGATTTCGTCACTGCAACAAAGGTCCGGAGGGGCAGGGGAGGTAAGGTCTAAGGCTAAGGCTACGGTCTAAGCCTAAGGCTCAGGCTAAGGCTTAAGTCTAAGGCTAAGGATTAAGGCTAAGGCTCAGGCTTAAGGCTAAGGCTAACATCGACAGTCACGCCTCACCCCACGGTGTGGGGTCGGCGGATTTGCATGACTACTGCTGATATACCTCTATGCAGTATAAATTTTCTGGAGGGTGGATTTTCTAATTGCTCATGTGACAATCTTTGGATGACTCAGGATATGCCTCTTCATTTGCTTTTTGGTGCTTGCCCCAGTGCAGCATGCGTGCCATTTGAAGCTTCTTTGAGCATTCTGGAGACTGCTGAGGTGTTCAGAAAGGGGGAATCGTAGAGCTTCGACCTCGGGCTGCTGAAGCTGCACTAGCTGGGCCCCTCTCGGGTATAGTCCTTCTCCTGAACGGGGTGGATCTATCTCCTACAGTACTCAGGACAAGTTCATAACCTGCAAAACCTTTGGAGGGGATTGGTGAAACAGAACGGAACATGAACAGGTAGAAAGTTCGGTTGACCGTTCTTTTTCCAGGTCAACAGGTCGGGGGCCCATCTGGAACCCATCCCAATCAGGTGTTTGGGACTGGGGACATGGGTTTGAATCGAGCTTCCCGGTGAAGGTCCCATGATGTGATGGGCCCCTCCAGTTTGGGACTCCAACATGACCAGATTTACCTAACCTTTGGAATCAGAGGATTCTTGGAAGCGGGAATGATATACCCCATATATGGCAGTCCCATGGGTTGCGTTTGGGTACTGCAACTGTTTGAAGAAAGGAGTTGGAGCGACGGAAAAGCCGGACCTTGAAAGCACCAGCTTTCTGTCGTAGTCGGGTCGTGGTTCGATGCGAACCCGTGAAACTGCGGTGGGCGGTGTTCCGAGGAAGCCGGGGAGTCATGCGGATTCAGGAAAGGGAAGACGAAAGGAACGTGGAAAAGGATGAGGAAAACAAAATTGAGAGAGGATCCGGAATGAAAGCACAACCCAGCAAAAAAGCAAGCAGGGAACATGGTGTCGAGGCAAAGCCCCCACACACACACACACGCACACTTACAACTTATTCACTCTTGGTCAACAACATGCTGCACATCACGTGACTCATGCACGCGATCAAAAACTTGAAGAGGTCTTCGTCCGAGGTCTTGGCCAGGCTCTACCTCAAGACCTGGTTCCCCGTGGACTTAGCACTCGTGGCATTGGATGTGGTGGCATGGCGGATGGTGGTCTGGACCACCCTTTGAGGGTGGGGAAGGGACTGCTGGGGGCCAAATGAAAAAGCACCAAGTTGTGGGGATGCATTTTCTTGGGGTCTTAGTAGTGAATTTCTGAACACGGGCATGGGTGTGACTTCTCATCAACCTCCATCGGGGGTGTGCCTCAGTTATGGGGGGTAGAGGACATTCTCTTTACAAGAAGAAAGAGATGAAATGATAATTGTATACATAATGTATAGATAATGTACGTTACTTGGGGCAGTTCCTGTTTGTTGATGTTTGTTGTAGACACCGCATTCTGCGAGTCCAAACTGAATGCCCAGTGTGCCTTGTGAGATGGGTAGAATTCCAAGAAGAAACAAAGGCACACCCTACCACATGATTATCGCATCACTACGCACCCTTGGAGGAGTATGTGCCTTTAAGTCATGACAAGCCCTTTCCAACCCCCACATCACCTGACGTCATTGCCACAACACCTGATGAACCTACCGTGGGCTCTACCTGGTTTCACCAGTCAGTTGATCGTTGAGAAGGGCTGAACCTCTTCCTCAGTTGCTGATCGTCTTCGAGATAATGGTGGGAGAGGGAAGCTTCAGCGGTGCCTTCCGCTCCGTCCGCGTGCTGCGCATCATGCGGATCCTCCGCAGCTCGGTGCAAGGCCGGTTCCTGGTAAGACAGATGACAGGCCCATAGAATCATAGAAACCTGAGACATCAGGGTACACAGCTGAACTTGAGGCTACAAGTTGGATTTGCAGGGATGATGTCTATGTGATGTAAATCATTTCACGTGGGCTAGGGGTTCAAATATGGAGACACCCGACTTCCGGTGCAGCAGACCAGCTAGACGGGGGTCAAAACCACCTTTCTTGACCTAGCTGGAAGGTCTTGACCAGACCTCCAGGGTGGACCAGACCTCTAGGCGTGTGTGTGTGTGTGTGTGTGTGTGGGCGTATGTTTGTGAGTGTCAGACTGTGTGGTTGCAGTTTGCTAGCAGGATTTGAATTGCTTTGAGTCACTAGTGAGAGTGATCATTTGACCAACAGTTTCATGCACCACTAACACCCATTGGCTAATGCGAGTTGCTTTTCCGTGGAACCATGTGTGACATGTTTGTTACTCTATACTGTACACATGGAGTCCCACATGGTGTTTGACTTTCCTCAGAACCTCGGTGGTGCCGAGGTTTGCTGCGGCTCCTGCGTGTGGCCAAGCTTCAACGGGAGTTGTCCATCATCGCCAATCGCTTCATCTCCGCCTATGTCTTCATGGTGATGAAGCTGGTTTGCATCGGTGTGCAGAGTGTGTGTAGAGTGTGTATGCCTACGGTGTGTTGAACACCTTTGGGGGATGAAGAGCAGTGCCTTTTTGTTGGGCCCCCAGCTCTGCTGAAAACTCTAAAACTCTCAGAAGTCAGGAAGGCCACACTGGGCAGATCCCTCGACACGTGTTAGATCCGGCAGCGGACGGTTGTGGAGCTGATCTGGCCTTTTGGGCTCAAGTGGAGCGTGTGGCCACCGGCTCCACACCGTACGCGTGGACCGTGCCACGATGCCCCACCTGGCACCTCCGCGCCGTACGCGGTGCCTGACCTTCGCGTGGCTGGCGTGGACGGCGTGGACCGCGTTGGGACGCGTGGACCGGTGCTTCGCGCCCAGCCGGACGGAACGCCGGACGGCCACGGTCGCACGCATGGCCAGCGCGGCGGAGTGGTTGGAGGGGCAGGGCTATGACGTTGCGGGGAAGCAAGGGCGAGGAGGCCTGGAAGAGGGTGCAGCAAGAAGACATTTGAATAGCAAAGGCTTTGAATGGGTGTTGCTTCGCATGTCGGTTATGTCGTGTAGTATGGGGCGGTCCAGGGGCAGTATGTGTTATGTTTTGGTAGATCGTGGCGAATGACCCACTGACTATTTGGGCTCAGTACTGAAAGAACCAGGCAGCAGCACCTTCGAACCAGGCAGCAGCTGGGCCTCCTTCCAGACTTTGCAGACGGACCAGGGCGACTTCTTTGTGGCCAAGCATGGCCAAACATGGCGCTGTTTGAACATGTTGGGGTATGTTTTTTGTGCGCCAAGCATGTTTCTTTTGTTTTTGGGATGGTTTGGTTTGGTTTGGTTCTACCCAATTCCTACTCCCTCATTGGCATGTTCTTTGTGGGTCAGAGGGACAGACCGCAAGGGACCGGTTGAGAGAGGGAGAAGAGAGAGTGAGAATCACTCAAGACTGGCCTCAGGACGACCACATACCTGGGCCACCCACAAATAGCGTAAAAGGAGGGCCACAAAGCCCACAAAGCCCCGACAGTTGTTATTTTTGCCCCATTTTGTCCGTGAAGAAGGACTTGTGTTGAAGCTCGTACTCCTTCGTAGACACTTACCTGCAGTCTTGGTTTCTAGCTTCAACAAGCTACCTGCAGCCAAATGTCCATTGGCATGTTGAGGACCGAGGATGATGTACAAGATTAGATACGATGTTCTTTGAATTGATGAAGTTCCGGTTGGATTTTCACGCTTTCATGGGCTTGCTTTGTGTCAATGATTTCTCCACTTTGAGTCCAGACCCCTCGCAAGGTCAAGACTGCCCGGCGTCCAGCGGCGGACATGTTCAAGGGCGAGGCTCTCGGATTGGAGGCGCTGCGTGCTGCAGGCGGCGTGTGCGTTCCGAAAGTCCTGCACTACGATGACGACGGCAGTGGGGGCTCCTACATCATCATGGAGAAGCTGAACATGGGCGGCAGCTTGACGTGGGAAACAACTCATGAGTGTGGAGATCCAGTTCTTTTTTTGACATGCTCGCAGCTCCCAGTTCAGATCTCTCCTGTGGGGGGGGCATAAATATCCCACCAGTGGCTCAGCTGTGGATGTTTGTGAGGTTTCGTTGACATGATGGGTGTGTTTGATTGTGCGCCAGGACCCTGTTGTTTTGGGCGTGGTGAATGCACCAGAGGTTTTTTAATTTTAGACAGGAAATCGGCCTTCTTTTTGTGCAACCCACTGGCTCGTCTCTGCAAGGTTCTGGCCAAAGCTACCGTCCATGACCCCAATTGAAGGTCCCCAAGCTTCCACAGAGCTTGGAGCCCTGAGGTCGGGTCAATATGAAGGACTTCGGCAGGAAGCTGGAACCTTTGGATGCCATTGGTACAGCTCTTTGGAAGAAACATGGAAGTGGAAAACAAACTGTTTGTAGAGGAAAATTCATCCAAACGACATCAAACGACCAATTTCCACTTCCATGTTAGTTCCAGCGGGTGCACTGCAATGTGTTCCGCAAAATATTTCTTGGACCCCACCAGGTTTATGTGGTCGTGAATGTAGCCAGGACTCGGACTTGGGCCAAATAGTTGGAAGGTGAGTTTACATCAAAGACCATGACCAAAGCTTGAACCTTAGTTGGACCTCCAACTACTCCCGTCAGAAGTCAGTTGAGCCATGTTGAACCACTCGGAACTCTTTAACGGCACCGCGCGCATCCTGGCGTCTTGCGTCAGCCAAGTCCACGCCTGAGAGATGAGGCTGAGATGCACCTGGCGGAGCCCGCGCATCCAGAAGCCAAGTCGGGTAAGTTCGGCTTCCAGGTGGACAACACCATCGGTGGAACTCCTCAGAAGCTCGCTCAGATCATCTCAGATCCACACCGAAAACCACGAAGACAAGTTGGAAAAACACCAAGAAACACTAGGAACTCCTCTTGTACTTGTTTGGTTTAACTTGGCCAAACCGGTGCATTTGTGCCCAAAGCATGAGGTGACGGGAACACCCAGTCGATTGTGGGAGGGGGGGTCTAGAGGGGAGCTCTCGACTATGATCCTTGGTATGCAGCGCTTGGTTTGCTTGCTGCGTTTTGAAGCTAGATTGAAGTCCAGTTTAGGTTGCAGGGGATTGCTTGAATCTCTCAGAGGGCCCTGACCCAAGCCACAAAATAGCTGTATCTTCCTGATTTTCTTCAAGGGTGATTTGAATCTGCAGGTGTTGCCTTTTCAGGCGAACATTTAGTGAGACTCCGCAGTTTGACAAGCATGTTGGTGGAGGAGCATCATGTCAAAGCACACCACAACAAACGCACCCCCCAAAGACTGCCACATATGCCCTTGTCCCAAGTGTTGTCTTACAGTAATTAGTTTGTTTTTTTGTTAATGTCTTTGTTCTCAGTTCTCAGTTTAGATTAGCCGCCGCTTTTCTTGGTGTGTCGACGTGGTTTGAGCCAGTGAGGAAGAATGCGTGGACAGAAGATTGGGCCAGCTTCGTGAAAGAGCAACGCTTGGGGCCGCAGGTGCGAATGGCGGGGAGCGGTCAGCTCACCCGAGTCTGGAAGCAACTCTTGTGGCTTCGACGGAAGGGGCTGGACCGAGAGAGTTGGCTCATGGGACATATGGGACCGTGTTTCGATGGTTTTCAAGGCCCTCTAGAGTAGTCACCAGATGAGTATTCTTTTCCGTCTTGGAATTAGATGTTTTGGGCCTGAAGCTACTGCCCCACCAAGTCCCAAAATACCGTGGAATCTCTCATTTTTCACTGTCGCGAACCTTCCAACGGATGTCTTCAAAAGGGGTCAGACTTTTCGTCTTTGCTGTTTGGATGCGGAAGGCGGCCTGTGGACGGCCTGTCATGGTGCAGTTGAAAATCCTACCGATGACTGACGCACCCCAAGCATTCTGGGATATTCTGGAATATTTGATTCCTATTCAGGGCTTCACCTTCTCTACTCAAAGCTTTGGCCGAAAGCACCAGCCATTGGACAAATTGGATGCCAAGGAAGACGGGATAAGAGCGGGCTTAGTCAAATAATCAATTAGCATTATATATAGTTGAGCAACACCATGATGATGAATAATTCATATAGTTATATGTGATTTCCGCCTGACGTGTCTTTTCCTCCGCGAAGCTGAGGGAGGAGACAGGTGATCTAAGAGACCTCTTCAGTGATGTCGAGGTGAAGCCGTCCATACTGCACGGCGATCTTTGGAGTGGCAACTACCAAGGCACACCTGATGGGGTGGCCATTTTTGATCCTGCCACCTACTACGGCCATCATGAAGCTAAGCATGCAGTGATGTGTTTCTGCACAAGTGTTCCTGTGGGGTTCACCAGCTTAACTGTTTGGGGGGTGCATTTCAAGGGTCCCCACCACCGATGTCCATTTCCCAAAGAAGTTCATTGTCCGTGTGGCCGCGACACGTGTGTGACACGGTGAACTTCGGTGCCCAGGAAGCGGAATTTGGAATGTCCTGGTGCGCGGGCTTCAACGGCGACTTCTGGAGTGGCTATCGGGAGGTCATACCCGAAGCGCCCAAGTACCGGCAGCGGGCGAAGCTCTACGAGGCATATCATATTATTAACCACTATAACCTTTTTGGTGGTGGTTATCTTCAGCAAGGCATCAGCCTGTTAGAAGCCTTGCTGAAGTAGGTCCCTGCAATTGATTGAAGCAAGCCCGGTACTCAAAGCAGTACATCGCAACAGTGGCGGGCAGTTGACGAAGAATTGACTCGAACGGTCTCGATTAAATGCATCTCAGGAAAAAGAATCGAACTTGATTGTGCCACAGGAGTTTTGATCAGACAGGTGCGGTCCGGCGGTGTGTGTTTAATGCTGTAGATGCACATTGATTCGCAGCTTACTTACTAGCTAGTGTGCGTAACAATTTGGACCGGTGGCAGGTGTAGTGTGCACAGATCGACGGTGGTAGGACTGTGATGCGGCAGGTGATTCTTATGTTATACTGTTATAGAAAGTTGGCCATGTTTCAGGCTTGTTCAACTTTGCTATACTTGTATCTACTTGTCGTTGTCAGTTTCAATTATTTAGATTATAACGGTGCTAGCTAGATAGGCATTGCATCGATGGCCAAGTTTCTTGATGGTGTACAGGGCAGGCTTATAAATGGTTTTGCATCAATAATCAATGGATTATTTGACGCTAGTGCGTCTAGATGATACATGTTGAAATACATGTTCACACATATCAAAGATAGTGTAGTGGATGCCATGTGCAGATGGAGCTGTCATGTCGGTAAACTAGCACGCCGTTATCTCGTGCTAGTGGTGGCTTGCAATTTCAGCAACTAAACTCGGCCCAGGAGAGTGGTGGCTGCGCTGCTGGTGATGCTATCCATTAATCATATGATTGCTTGTTGTTGGTATGCTGTGGGCAGCAGTTTGAGGACTGCACAGCTGCCAATCCGTCCGACTTTGCCAGGTGTGGGGTCGTTTCTGGTTGCTATTGGGAAATCAAGACATCAACACCCAAACATGAACGGATCCTCCGAAGTGTTTTCAGTTTCGGACTCCACCTTCAAGGTCTCCCGTCTCTTCAGGCTTCACTGGGGTGAAACAGGGCCGAGTGGGCCACAGTGAGTGAGCCGGGAGGTCTGCCAGCGGAAAATCATCTACTCAAGGGCGGTTTTCACCCGCAAAAGGCCCGCTGAAGATGCTTTCCAGGAGTAGCACGCAGTCCACTTGGCTCAAGCGGATGGACCTGGAGGAGGCACATGGTCCGCGGATTTTTTGACCCGGCAACCGTTGTCAACAAGTGTTTTGCGGTTAAAGATCTGCAGAACAGCAGTTGTATTTTCTCTGGATGCTTCCGGCGGAACTGTCCGCCATGACATTGGCAACACACCGAAATTGGTTATAGCACACATCGATATGAACAGCGTGCTTGTGTGGAAAGTGGCAGATTCCGTACGAGGATGGAACAAGTAAATTCACTCATTGGGGAGGTTTCTTCATGCATTCCGAGGCGCAGAAATGGCCTGAAATAGTGGCTAAATGAGATTGTTAGCCGCCAGCTTCAAAAAACTCGATCACTTCAGGTGGACGATAGTGGAAGTGTGCCCCATTGCCATCATTTTGTGACAAAGTATTGGGGTAAGGATTTGAAGGCCTGAAGAAAAGAACCTGCCTCTGCAAGTGGTACTTGAAACGGCCTCTTGATTTCCAGATCCCCTTTCACTCAAAGACCGAATCATCTAGTCCACTCCGAATCACGTCGTGCACAGAGGCTATGGATGGGGTTATTGCCCAACGAAGGTTTTGGAGCAACCCCCGTGGTTGGTGAGGAATCCATTGGATAGGAACTCCGGATATATGATTGAAGGGCCAGGCGGCTTGACCGTTATGAAAGCGTTTTCTTGTTCAGCACCAATGGAACTAATATACATTATGCCGGTGCAAAAATGCTATGGTATATGCTAAGTTGCGGTGCGTCCACAATGTGGAATTCACCAACAAGGAGAATGGAAGACAGGACATTCTCCTGCAACAAATTTGCCGCAGTCGCCCAAAGGAGTTTTCAGACTACAGAAGTTTAATGTATATTAAGCCTGAAGATATATTAGCAGTTAGCAGGTGTATTCTGCTTGCCAGACCTGAAGGAATTCTCCCCCCCTCGGCTGAGTGGCTGGAATGGCCGAACCTGGCAGGTGGGCATGTTCGAAGCCTACGTGGCGTCGCTGCACTGGAGCTTGACGCAATTCACGCCCTCCACCAACAACGTGGCGCCCGCCAACTCCTTGGAAAGGTGGGGCAGACATGTTGTGTGTTGTCTTTTTCCCCGAGCTGTTTCTGGGCGGGCTTGGGCAAAAAGAATGTGGGTGTTTAATGTATGGTTTCGATTCCTGAGCGTTAATATAATGTGCACGAGCTGCACAGCGCTAATCAATCTTCAACTTCACCCAGGTGATGTTTCTCACCCAGCCTTTGGGGTTCAATTGTTCATCGGCATGTCACTGAACAAATGGCGCAGCCCGACCAATGTTGAAGCATGTTTGAGACACTCAAGCAGCCTCAAGCACCATCCCGCAGACGAATGGTGAAGTGGACCAAAACATGTATTATCATTTATTCATAGTGTTGCCACATGCAAATGACCTTCTCTCATTCCCACAAACAGTTGGTTTAAAGAAAGTGTAGCACAGTTTGGTCAAGGTCCCAGTCCCAGTCTATCACTAACAGCTGTTGCTGTGAACAGGATTTGCCCTAACTGACTCTTCTCCTGCTTGCAGGGGCCAAATCCTCACATATACCATGAGAGGTGAAATCCGATCATAGAACGGCAAATTCTACATGGCCATGGCTCTTACCAATCCTATGTCGTTGCTCCTCATCCAATCCCATGGCTTATGCTTTTTGCTTAAATTGTGCTTCCTCATAATGACAGCCAGGGTTCCTTGCTTATCAACTTGTGAAGTCAAGAGGTCCAGTCACTATCATGTTTGTTGCACGTTGACAAGCTCCAAAAGATTTTTTTTTAATCAACTGGATGGTTTTTTCTTACACACCATCTGCTATGCCGTACACACCGCACACGCCGCCAGGCTTTTTGCCGTCTTCGTCATTCTGCTCGCCATGGGTCCGAGATCCCACTGTGCGGAGAGAGGGTGGAGAGAGGGCGAAGCCAATGGATGACCCGTAAAAAGGCATTTTTGGGGATTGGTGAGGCCCCACAAAGAGGTTCAACAGGTGGAAAAGGATGAAGAATGTGTATAAATTTGTTTCGGGGAAACTGAGGGAGTCGGAGGCTCCTTCGTTCACGGAACATGTTGAACAAAAGCATTTTGCATGAAAAGAATCTTCAGCCCAACATGAACTGGAAATGGAGAAGCTGTCTCCGACACTGTCCGGCATTCCATGGATTCCTGGTCCTGGACCTGCTTTTTTTGCCTGCTTCAGATGCAGAATATAGGTTCATACTTCCTTGATCCTCTCAACCTGTTCCTGTTGTTGGCCATTGGAATGTTCCATTGAAGGTTTGATAAACCTTAGCCTTAGCATCCCTAGCCATCCCTAGCTTTAGTATAAAAAGAATAGTGGACCATGTTGTTCAGACATGACCCTATACGTGATGTTTGTTTGCACGAAGGTTGGAATTGAAGTCCCCCAGCTTTGCTCTCCAGCGCGGTTGGACAACAACACCTGAAACATTTTGACGCAAACATCCTTTGCCCCAAGCGACCCAGGTGGTTGTAGGTTGCCTGTTGCCACCCTTCCCCCCACCCCACCCAT